CAGGGGCAGGGGCTAGGCGACCTACCCAGATCCGCTGGAGAGTGACACGCAGGAAGCTAGGAGAGCACAGAGGACTTGTGCCCAGAGAAATGGGTCTCCAGGAAGAAAGGAGAGCACACGACCCCTCTGCATGCCCTATGCCCCTTCTTGGTCTGAGGACTATGGCCACCTGGGAGCTCCACCCCACCCCAATGCACCCCGGTCCCGACTGCTGCCAGCTGGGTCTCCCAGGTCAGCCTAGGCCAGGGAGATGATCCCTCAGCTCTGAGAAACTAGCCTTTCTCTTCCTCTGCAGCCAGATGGCCAGACCGCTGACCACCCCCAGTCCTTCTCAGATGCAAGCCCGGAAGAAGCGCAGAGGGGTGAGTGAGCAACAGCTTTTGAGGAGCCCAGTCAGGCAGGGGTATGCACAAAATCCAAAGAGGCCTTGCCCATCATCCCAGCTGATTGGATAGGTTCAAACCCAAGCTCTGCCAATTGTGATCCTGGTGACAGGGCATGCTACCTCCCCTCCAATGTCTTGCTTCTTCCTTTGAGTGACAGATAGCACCTACCTCAAAAGACTGATTTGTTGTTTGCTTTTCAAATACACTATGCAATTGAAGATGCTCTTGAACTCCTATTCCTGGTCTCTTAGCTTCCCAAATGCTGGGGTTATAGGCATACACCACCACACCTGGTTGTTGCAGTACTGAGGATTTAGTTGAGGCCTCATATATGCTAGAGGCAAGCATGCTACCGACAGAGCTACATCCCTAGTCAAAACAAAGGGTTGTTCTGAAGACTCAGTGCATTCCCATAAACTCTGATGGGCCCCTGACAGTAAGCCACTAATACTTTTGTTGTAGTCTACCCTCTACCCTCTTTCCTCGGAACCCAGAACATTCTTTTCCTCTTTGTGTTAAGCAGGGAGGTGCAAAGGGGAGCCCCTTGCTAGCAGCTCTCCATCTTATCCCACCCCACCTCTTTCTGGGGATCCAGAGGCCTGGGATCTGGCAGGAGCCAGTCATTCACTCACTCATCAGAAGACGTAGGCGAATCATTTTTCCCTACCTCGTGTTCTGTCTCTAAAAGGTGATGGATTAGCTGAGCGGTGGTGGCACACACCTTTAATCCCAACACTCGGGAGGTAGAAGCAGGCAGATCTCTGTGAGTTCAAGACCAGCCTGGTCTACAGAGTAAGTTCCAGGACAGCCAGGACTGTTTCACAGAGAAACCCTGTCTCGAAAAACAAAGTGATGAGTTATATCTATACAGCTATGAGGATTCTGTCAACAGAATTGTGGAGAAGACAGAGATAGTGTGGAAAGAGCAAGACCCAGAATTCTTCAGGTGTTCTCATGATCCAGAAACTGGAGGGCTAATCTGGCCCAGCAAGGCCCCCCAGGTTTATACCAGTGCTGAGGCTGGTGTCCCCATTGTGATAGGCAGTGTCCTGCTTTACCTATGGTGACTATCATCCCTACAGACCAGGACAAGAGGCCTGAGTGCCAGTCTCAGCTCTGTGCTTTTACTGTGTGGCATTAAGCAAATTATTGTCATTCTGAATTTTCATTCTTGTCCTCCATAAATAAAGAATAGATTCACTGCCCAGGAAAAAAATCTTGAGGGAAAATATGAGTCAGTGTCCATCAGGGAACACTGGAAAGTGTGATGAAATGCCTACAGGGAACCTCTTGTCACCATTTTCAGATCATAGAAAAACGGCGCCGAGACCGAATCAACAGCAGCCTTTCCGAATTGCGTCGCCTGGTGCCCACAGCCTTTGAGAAACAGGTATATGACACTGCTGATTGGGCAAAAGGCAGGGTGTCTCCTACTGCTGGCAGAGCTATGATCATTTATAAATAGCTGTCACTGGGGTCTGGGAAGATGGCACAGAGGGTATGAGCAATTGTTGAAGATCTGAGTTTAAATCCACAGCAGACCTATAAAAGCCAGACACAGCTGTGCACACCTGTAGCATCAGCATTGGGAGGCAGAGAGACAGGCAGATTCTAGGAGCTGGGACAGTGAGGACTTGAGTTCAGTCTGTGTCTCACATTGTGGAAAGAGAGAAAGGACTCCACCAAGCTGTCCTCTGACTTACGCGTGCGCAAGTGAGGGTCTCTCTCTCTCTCTCTCTTACCCCCACACACACACACACACACACACACACACACACACACACACACACACACACACACACACACACGCTTTTTAAAATGTAGGGCTGGAGAGGTGATCCAGCAATTAAAAGCACATGCTGCTCTCCAGAGGACTAGAGCTCATCCCAGCCTGCAGCTCACAACTGCATATAATCCCAACTCCAGGAGATCTGATGATGTCTTCTGGCCTTTGTAGGCACCTGCACACACCTGAACATACATTCACACAGATACACATGCTACATAGAAACAATTTAAAAATCTAAGAAAAAAGAAGATGGAGAGCAATAAAGGACCATACTCTGTGTGTTATCTCCTGGCTTCCACATGGGTACCACCATACATGGGTACCACACAGACATGCACATATACAAGTGTGCATATGCCACACACATGTGCACACACACACACACACAAGTATGCATAGTTGTCACTGGCCATGGGACAAGGGGAATAGATGATTATACTTAGCAAAGTGTCTTGGGTATGGTGGCTTTATACCTGATGTGTTCCTTTGGATTAAGTCCTAAAAGTGTTCCTGAGAGGCAGGGATTATTCTGCACATTACACACAAAGAAGTAAAAGACAGAGATGCCATGTCATATCTATCCACTGCATTACATGGTTAATACATATCTGAGCAGAAAGAGCGTGTAGCTGTATCACATGTCCCCTGACATTTCTAGAACTCTTTGAAAGTAAAACAGGCCACTCAGAAAGTGAGCACCTATTGTTGAACATGGGGACAGGGGGTGACTGCAGTGGAAAGACAAATGATTGAATCAAACTGCCCTATGCTCAAGGCTCAGGTCACATGTCATCTGCCTTCCATTAGGCCAGTAAGTACAAGTCAGCCATTCCACAGATGCTCATTAAAACCTTCTCAGAGCCAGCAATGAACTAGATTTAGTGTCTGTATTTAAGGGACTGACATGGAGAGTCCGACCCTCAGGTTTCCCATGGGAGCCAAGGTTCCCTAGAGGTTTGGGAACATTTCCCAAGAGAGAACAGAGGAAGAGCAAGCTCTTTGGGCTCCAATGATGGGCTAGGACTCAGGGAAGCTGGAGTTGGATCCCAGGGTAGCGGGTCTATGGGGCAGTCGAGGTGGATGATAGCCGTCTGGTGAAGGTGATGGGCTTGGAGATGGAGGAGTCTCCTGAGAGAGGGCGGGCCTATATTCACTGAGGACATTTTAGGAGAGGGGCACCTAAGAGGCAAGGAGACTAAAGAGGATTCAATCAAGGCAGTCGAGTCAGGGAGGGATTTTAGGATGGAACCTTAGCCGTGATGCAGAGGGCCAGACTGAGATGCGAGCCCCTTTCAGACCCGGAGAGCTTGGACAAAGTAGCAGCCCAAGTGGTCAGGGCGTGGGAGGACAAGGGTGGAAGGGCAGGGAGGAAGCCCAGGCAGTGAATGCTGCTGGGGACAGGAGAACAGTGAGCAACAGCAGTCACCTGCAGCCTGCACCCTCTGCCTTCCATACCACAGGGCTCCTCCAAGCTGGAGAAAGCCGAGGTCTTGCAGATGACAGTGGATCACTTGAAGATGCTCCATGCTTCTGGTGGCACAGGTACCAATGCTCTACCCTCTTGGGAGTTACTCACATTGCAAATACTTTGACCCAGGGGCTGGGGATCAAGGAGTGAGCTCAAACTGGTGGTCAAAGTAGGTTGTCATTGCTCTTCTGTGGGAGGACTGAAGTAGATTCCAGCCACCATTGGCCAAGCTCCTCTCTGTTCTTTTGTTTTGTTCGACTTTGGTGTTTGTTCTGAGAAAAGGGTCTCACTCTGTAGCTCAAGCTGCCCTCAAATTCATAAATCATCCTGCCTCAGCCTCTATCGTTCTGAGATTGCAGGCAGGAGCCACTACACCAAATTGCCCGTCTTCTTCCATTGTCTCGGAACCCTTTCCTCCGTTTGACTTCTCCCAGTCTTAGAGGGTTGTTCTGTACAACAGGCTTCCAGAAGACTCAACAGAAAACCTGGTTATCAGGTAGCTTGGATAAGCAAACTTTCACTAGAATCCCACTCTTCAATTAACCTAAACCGAGGGAGGAACCTGCCTGAGATGTTTAGCCACAGATACCCTGTTGGTGTCTCTGCCTACTGGCCTAAGCTTCTAGACTGCTGTTGTTTCCTGGGCAGCACTGGGTGCTGCCCAGGTGTCAGATTATATAGGAAGAGGCGAGTCATTCCATCATTTTGCTAGTGCCTTCCATTAAAATCATGGAGCGGCTATGACTTTTAAAAGACTCACAGGTGAATGGAAATCTTGTCTGGTAGTTTCTAGGTGTGTTTGGCGATCTCAAGATTGGGAAGCCTTCACACCCCACAGACCTTAACTACAAAGATGTAAAGCTCAAGAACTGCTTTCAACTCTGGAAGAGACCAGTGGCATTTTAAGTGGTTCAAATCGGTGCTGCTTCACAGAGGTACCTGGGGACAGGCAGCATTGCAGGGTCGTCTCCCCGAAAGAGCCAGTCTGGATTGGACTGTAGGAATTTGCAAGTTGCCGACCTACCCAATAATTCAAGCGTCGAGACTCCTTTTGAAAAGTCTGCCAAAGGAACGCATTCCTGACGGTGGCATTCAGTGGGGAGATGCTTCAAATTATATTCATGGTTATCCTATTAAAAGGAAAGTGGTGATTAGCATGTGGGAAGCCCTTTAAAATGTTTCCACTTATCTCGATTCATTCTCACAAGAACCAGGAAGGAGGGGGTAGGGCAGGCTGTCCTCGCCACTCAGGCTAATGGAGAGGTCAGAGAGTGGTTTGGGAGTTCAGGCTTCTGATTTGAATTCTGGCTCTGCTGCTTCTGAACCTTGTGACTTAAGACAAATGGCTTTATCCTCTCTGCCCCCTGAGTTCCTTTAGCTATAAAGTGGGTATGGTAAAAGGGTGTTTATAAGGATTAAATTAGATGCTACAGAGAGGTGTGTAATAAGAACTCAGCAGACTTTTGTTTAAAAAGAACAACATAGCCAGGTATAATGGTGTGCACATGTAACCACAGCTCTCTGGAAATGGAGGCTGGAGGATCGAGAGTTCAAGATCAGTGTAGGCAACACAGTGAGTTCCAGGCCACTTTGGACTACCTGAATGGTTATCTAAAAGTTAACTAATTAATTAAAAGAGACTGAGGATGTAACTCAGTTGGTAGAGTGCTTGCCTAGTATCCACGAAGCCTGGGGTTCACTCCCTAGCATTGCATTAACCAGGTGTGGTGGCATAGGCCTGCAATCCTAGCACGTGGAGTGTGGAGATAAGAAGATCAGAAGCTTAACTACATAATGAGTTGAGGGCCAACCTGGACAACATTAGATCAGGTCTCAAAGTAATATAAAGAAATAACTGTTTCAACTGGCCCATGGTAGTGCATGCCTTTAATCCCAGCACTCTGAGTTTAAGACCAGCCTGGTGTAGTGATATTTTGTTTATGATCTAACAAATAAAGCTTGCCTGAAAATCAGAGTGCAAAGCTAGCCACACTAGTTAGCCATAGAGGCCAGGCAGTGGTGGCATACACCTTTAATCCCAGCACTAAGGAGGTGGAGACAGGAGTGATATGGCTGGGCAGAGAGAGGAATATAAGATGGGAGGAGACAGGAGTTCATGACAGTCTGAGGCAGCAGTCTGAAGCAAGCAGTCTGAGGACAGGATCGTCCCTTTGGTCTGAGCATTGGTAGAGGTAAGAACTCTCTAATGACTGGCCACTCAGCTTCTCTGATGTTTCAGCTTTCACCCCCTGATAACTGACTCTGAGTTTTTATTATTAAAACCAAAGAGAATTCATGCTATAGCCTGGTCTATAGAGTAAGTTCCTAGACGGCCAGGGCTACACAGAGAGAAACCCTGTCTTAAAAAACAAACTCCGTGTGTGTGTGTGTGTGTGTGTGTGTGTGTGTGTGTGTGTGTGTGTGTGTGTGTGTTTAAAAAAAAAAAAGAGTACAGCAAATACAGAGAGGTGAGGGGACACACACACCATCACACAGCACAGCCAAGTTTCACTCCAGACTGCCTACATTCAGCAGTCTCCCTCCAAGAGTCCCAGCCATGAACCAAAGACAAGCTATCTGCTGTCACAGTCAGAAGTTGGTGTTGGCCGCTCTTTCTTTACCCAGAAGGTCGTTGAAAGAAGAGCAGGTATGTAGAGGCAGTAGAGATGTGGGTGCCTGTGTAGATAGTCCACCTGGCTTGCCCATCAGAGACATCAGGCCAAGAGAGAGACCTTGCCTGATGGCAGCTGCATGGGGCCAGTACATCCCAAACTGTGTTCTGAGCAGCAGGATGAAACTCAGATGCAGCAGCAGCTGGGCCGGTGGTGTAAGTGTGTCCATTTATGGAGGGGTTCCGAGGACCATTTCATTTCCGCCTCTCTACTCACTGCAGCAGCAAATACTACAGCAGTGGGCACTGCTTCTGTTGTCTCCCCATTTCCAGGCTAAGGAAACCGAGGCTTAGGAATGCACATCCGTGGCCAGGTGCTTAGTTTAAGTGGCAGATCCATGCCTTGAACCCAGTTGTGGTCGCTTCTAAAGGCTTCACCACTACACAATTGTGCCTTCTTCTCCAAGTGGCCTTCTACTCTGATAGCTGCCAGCATTCCCTGTGCTCCTCAAGCCTGCCTCTGTTCAGTAGGCAGGGTTAGTCTACATCTTCTATGTTCACTGTCTTCTCACAGGAGTCTGCTTAGAGAAATTATGCGGGCCACAAGATAGTCTTTGCATTCATCATGAAGTGTGAAGAAAATACATTTTGTGATGCAGACAGTTGGTGTCTCTCCACAGCATTCAGAATTTATCTGGAATGATAAATTCAGATAAAACTGTCTCTCCACAGCAACTTCCCCCCAAAAACAAAATCTCAGGAACTGATGACATATTTTATGAAGACAAATTGGTGAAGGTCCAACATTTTTAAGAAAAGGGTTTTTAGTACTTTATAGTGGGAGACTGGGGCTCAGAGAGGTGAAGGGACACGTCCAAGGTCACTGGGCCATTGTAGGCTATATAAGTGGCGCAGGTCACTCAGGGTATCTGTGCTTCTCTCCCTAGCATGCCCTCATGGTACTTTACTTTACAGGGTTCTTTGATGCCCGAGCCCTGGCTGTTGACTTCCGGAGCATTGGCTTTCGGGAATGCCTCACTGAGGTCATCAGATACTTGGGGGTCCTGGAAGGACCCAGTAGCCATGCAGACCCTGTCCGGATTCGCCTTCTCTCCCACCTCAACAGCTATGCAGCTGAGATGGAGCCTTCACCCACACCGACTGGTGCCCTGGCCTTCCCTGTGTGGCCCTGGTCCTTCCTCCATAGCTGTCCGGGGTGGCCTTCCCTGAGCAGCCAACTTGCTATTCTGGGAAGAGTGCCTGGCCCCGTCCTTCCCAATGTCACCTCTCCCGCTTACCCCATCTCAGCCCTCCGGTCCACACCAGTCCACAGAGTGGCTGGTACCATTCTGCCAGCCCGGAGGAATTTGTTGCCCAGTCGAGGGGTACCTTCCACCCAGAGAGCCCATCCTCCTGAGAGGCCAGCTGCCCCTCCACCCACAGCTCCTGGTAGTAGGGCTGCCAGGAGCAACCATGTAGTCCCCAACCTGCCATCTTCCTCCCCAATGGCCCCTGGAGCTGGGAAATCTGACGACAGTATGTCTGGTCCCATCTCCAGTCCATCTCCTTTGGGGCCAACTGGGAGGCCAGCAGGAACGGTGCTCTACCACTCCTGGGTGTCTGAAATCACTGAAATTGGGGCTTTCTGAGCTGACCCCACTACAACCATCCCCTAGGAATGAGGAACATTCTTACTTTCCCCCATGAGCTCTGAAAATGGTGCCGCCTTTTCTAGAACAGCTTCTAAACAAAGGCATCCCTCCTTGCCCCTCAGAGCCCCACCCCCACCCTCCTCACCAACAATCCTGCTGCCTACCTGGCTCCCCTGTAGCCTTTTCAGAGCTCAGAGTCTTAGTCTCATTTACCACAGGCACAGATGACCTACATGGTGCCTTGTGACCACCTAGGTACTGTGAACCCAGTACCATGGACCTTGGGTCTGGAGCCGATGCTTTAACCTAAAGATTCTGTGGCATAGCAGGCTGCTCACATGAAGAGGTGGGACTCCCAGTCCTGAGGACTGATGGGATTCAGTCACCCCAGGCCAACAGGATGGAATGCACTGTCTGCTTCACTTCCTGGGGACAGAAATGAAGCAGGGCCTATTGAGATGTCTGAGGCCCGCCACGTAACGGTGAAACACAGGACAAGATCTGTCTATCTGTCCTCCAATCAGCAAAGGCCCACAGCTTCAGATGCACACATGACCAGCCACTAAGGCTTGACAAGTAAGCCAGGAGGATTCCCCACAGTAGCAAAGCTCTGTGGCAGGGTATCCTACCACCAGCCCTCAGACGGGAGCCAGGGCTGAAGAGCAACGAGAGAGCCCCACACCCCTTCTCTTGGGCACCATCCTCCAGGACTATGGCCCTTCCTGCGGGTCCCCCGTGTGGAAGACCTGTGGCCCTGATGGTGGCACCCCAAGAGGCATTCTCTTGGGATTCAGCACCAGACATCTGAGCTGCCTGGTTTGCATCCGGCTCCTAGAGCCCAGACTGCTGCCACAGCCAAGGGCTGTCAGGCTAGATAAAAATAACTTGGAGGAGGGCGAGAACAGGCAGAGGCAGCTGGGCTCTCCAAGGTCACACAGTGGGTCGAGGGCCTGAGAGCCTGATCACCCTCATTTCACACAGCTGGCTTTGCTCGGAGGCCAGCCCCGCCTCGGGCCACTTGCCTCTCTAATGGGAATAAATGGCCAGTGGAACAGCAGAGACTGACTGACATTTAGGGTTGTCCTATCAGTAGACAAAGTGTGGAAACACTTCTGTCCTCTTTGGTGGGCACCTGCTCCCACAGTGCCCCTGAGGACCACCCAGTGTGCCATCTGGGAACACCCTGGTTAATGCCAGGCAAAACCAAGATTGTTATTCATTGGTGCTGGGACCATGCTGAATATGAAATACTTTCTAGGTCATCATAGAAAGTCCCTCATCCCTGCCCCAGCCTTTGATGGAACCATGGTCCCCAGAGCTGTAATAAGGAGCCTGTGGGCACAAGAATAGAGTTTACAAAACCATGGGAGCAAAAGGGTCATTTCGGAAAAGTGGAACAGAGGGCAGAGGTTGCCTGAGTGACCCAGAAAGCACTAGTGAATAGGTCAAGAAGAGAGAAAGACTTCCTTTTCTCCTTAGTAGAAGCAAGCTCTTTCATCTTGCTGCCATATTAGACTGGTCTGAAGGCATCCCTGTGAGGTGCATTGTCAGCCAACTGAGAGAGACAGATACAGATACAGATACAGATACAGATACAGATACAGATACAGATACAGATACAGATACAGATACAGATACAGATACAGATACAGATACAGATACAGATACAGATACAGATACAGATACAGATACAGATACAGATACAGATACAGATACAGGAAGGGTAGAAGAGTCATGCGAGGCTCCCAGGGGTGGGGAGACATGATAGAAGTTCTTGGATATTAGGGTCTTACTGCAGACCTGCAGTCTGGAAGCCTGATCCCATGTTCACTCAGGGCTGCGCTATGGTAAACACATTTCCACGTTGCAGGTACCTGAACTGCAAAGCAGTCTGTTGACACCATGGAAACATGGCAGAAATAGCTGAACCCTTTGAGCATCCATCCTGGTTGGTCCTTCTCCCAGGAGACTGGGAAGGTGACACTCCCCTACACACACACACACACACACACACACACACACACACACACACACACACACACTACCCAGCTGAGTATTGAAGTCTCCTGTTTCTAGTCCCAAGCCTTTCTGATGGCCCCCAACATTCTCATCCCATTGCAGGGTATTGCAGACAAGCAATAAAGATGTTTAGTTCTGGAAACTTCCACCATCAAACTTCCACTTCTACTTCCTGAATGTTTTGGAGTCACTGAACCCATAGGCAATGTCCCCTCTCCCCTAGATTATTGTCCCAGCTTCCTTGCTTTGCTCTGGCTGTGCCAGACAGTTCTCAGCAGCCACTGGAGAGAATGTGGCCTGTGCAGAGCCCATCATATCAACCTAGCCTGAGACCTAGACGCCCCCACCCACACACCCTGTTATTCTAATGATAAAAATCAGAGCTCTTTTTTAAAATCCTAACCCAATTTATAACCTTGCTTTTTGCTGGCCCCAGACTTGCTCAGTGCTTATGCTACGCTGGCCTGTTCTCATAACCCCAGCATTCCCATCTTTTTTTTGCTTGTTTGGTTTGTTGGTTATTTTTTGAGACAGGGTTTCTCTGTGTAGCTCTGACTGTTCTGGAACTCAATCTGTAGACCAGGCTGGCCTCAAACTCAGAGATCCCCTGCCTCTGCCCCCCAGTTCTGGGATTAAAGACGTAGGCCACCATGGCCCAGCTACCAGTATTCCCATCTTCAGAACTTCTCCACTGAGGTTCCCAGAATGTTCTTCTCTTCCTTTTGCATGACCTTCTTCAGCATCTCAGGCCTCGCCTTCCAAGTCACCTCCTCCTGGGGGCCTTTCACGACTAATGTGCTTGAATAGCTCATTTGTCTCAGAAGTGCCGATTGTTTCCCTTCATGGAGAGCTGACTAATGCATACCTGCTTGAGTGTTTGTTTATTGGTTAGGTATATTCCCCAATGGAATGAAGCTCCATGAGGCCAAGGGCCACACCTGGCCTGTGTTCCCATCTGTACCAAGCACTGAACGAAAGACCTGCTTATCATCACTGTCCTGTGAACTTTGCTGAGTATCTAGATCAAGGAGGTGAGAAGGTTTCTAGTTTTCCGTGTGGCTGGCACAGACCCTATTGGAGATGGATTCCACTCTTACCCTGATAGCTGGCTTAGAGAGGAGACAGGAGAGCCAAGGCTGAGGAACGGGGAGTTCTGGCAGAATGGTCAGAAGTCCCTGGCCAGAGGAGAGGCAAACGTGTTGGCCCTGGAGTGCATGCTGACAGCTGAGCCTGCCAGCGGGTTTGTTCTTTGCTCTTGGCCTAGCTCCGCAATGTATCCAGCCCCCCAGCAAATCCAACATTCATGGAGAGACGCCCTGTGTCAGCCAGGCCTGACAGAGCCAAAGGTAACAAACACAAGGTTGCTCAGAGGGCAGCATATCCTCTGCCTAGATAAATGAACATGGAAAGGTCTCTGGAGAAGGCTGAGGGCTGTGGAATGGGTATGCTTCTCTGGGTAGGTAGGTTGTGGGAGGGGCCCTGGAAGGTCAAGGGGCTCCCTTGCAGAGATCTGGAAGTTCACCCAGGAAGTTACAGAAGCAGGCAGGGAGCTGAGTGCAGGCCCTCAGTGCAAGTGAAAGATGGGCTAGCCTGAGCTCTGCGACTCATTGTCCTTGTTAATAGGAAGTGATTTTCTTCAAGCTCTTTGCCTTTCCACACCTAATGTTTTCATCTGTAAGATGGCTGCCCACATATGTGCACATGCATAAACACAAATAAAAATGTAATAAAATTATTTTAAAGAAAAAGAATGTGGCGTTGCTGGCCGTGGAGGTGCGTCTGTAATCTCAGCATTCAGACAGGGAAGCAAGAGGATCAGGAGTTCAAGGCTAGCCTCAGCAGCATGAGACTGTCTCAGGTAAACAACAATTGGGGTAGCATGGTACTGGAGAGATGGCCTAACAGTTAAGAGCACTTGTGGCTCTTGCAGAGGACCCAGGTTTGGTTCCCAGTGTGGCGTCTAACAAACACCTGTAAGTTCCAGAGGTTCGCTTCTGTCTGCTTGGCACTTGTTGCTCACAATGCAGACAGACATGCAGGCAGAACACCCATACACATAAAAACAAACAAATTACAACAACAAAATGATGACGAAAAAGATGGGGGAGGAGCCGGAGGGGAAAGAGGAAGAGGAGGAGATTTGGCCTCACCTCCAAACTCCTAGATGCTTTTGTAAACATAGTGCCCAGGTCAGGTGACTGTGGTTTAACCTATCCGGGCAGGCCTCAGCCTCTCATTAGGAGATACAAAGAGAAGAATGGAGATCTTTTCCAGTTAGGACATTCCTATTCAAAAGGTGTTCGAGACCAGCCTGGTTTACAAGAATTCCAGAACAGCCTCCAAAGCCATAGAGAAACCCTGTCTCGAAAAAACCAAAAAAAAAAAAAAAAAAAAAAAAGTCCAGACTGGCCTTGAACTCTATATAGCTGAGGATGGCCTTGAACTACTGATTCTGCCTCTACCTCTCAAAGGTGGGATTCCAGGGGTGCCCCATCAGACCTGGCTTTTGCAGTCTATGCTGGGGATCAAGCCCAGGACTTCATGTGTGCCAAGCAAGCACTCTGCAGACTGGACTACACCCCTAGCTCAAAGCTGATGGCTTTCTGAGAAGCAGAGTAGAACTTATTCCCATGGGGACATTTCTGTCCCTTGGACCCTCCCCTAGTCCCCAGCCCATAGCAAAAGAATAAGGAGTGTTTCATGTGTGCCACTGTGACTTGAATGTGATTTGACTAACCCACAGTGCACAGTACCACGGGAGACCCCTGAAGCAAGGGTCCAAAGTCCGTCCAGGTAAATGAGGAGAAACAAATATCTGGGGCAGTAGCAGACGGTCCCTGATCTTGCTGTCATGGCAGGCATTGCTAATCAATTTCATACCCTGCCTCCTTCTTATTTTCTCTTAAGATTTATTTTTTATTTTATTTGGAGGTGTCTGAGTCAGTGTTCTATTGCTGTGAAGAGACACCATGACCACA